TACTACGGCTCCAAAGTAGTCTGATCTCCTACTTAGAGCATCCGCCACTACATTGTACTTGCCCTTCACTGGCTTGAGCTGAAAGTGGAATTGGTCTATCTCTGCGGCCCACCTAGTCAACTTAGGTGTCATCTTGGCCTAGGTCTTTAGCCAACGAAGTGTCTCATGGTCAGAATACACTTTGAAGTGCCTCCCAAGCAGATAGTGTTTCCAATGGTCTAAAGCCTGCCTGAGAGCGTAGAGTTCTCTCTCGTACGTGGAGGTAACGACCTTCTCACAGGGCATATTCGCTGACATGAACTCTACGGGGCTATAGTCATTGTCGTCGTCCTGCTGCAGCATGGCGCCTATCCCATACTGACTTGCGTCCGTGGTAACGACAAATGGCAAGGACGGATCCGCTACTTTGAGGACAGGATATTCTATTAACGCGAGCTTTAACCAGCGCAAGGGAGCGGCGATAGTGGAGAAGTTCCTCACGAACTTCCTGTAGTAGTTAGCTAGGCCTAGGAACGACCGCAACTCTGTCAACGTGCGGGGCGTCGGTCAATCTCTAATCGCCGCTATCTTGCTGTCCTCTGGCTTAAAGCCATCTCCGTCCAGCACGTGGCCCAAGTACAAGACTTGCGTCTTGGCCCACTCGCACTTCTTCATATTGATCTTGAAGTTAGCCACTCTAAGCTTCTCCAAGACCTGCCTCAGATGACCCTGGTGCTCCTGGAGGGTCTTACTAAAGACTAGGATATTATCTAAGTAGACTACCACAAATTTATCTAACCACAGTTTAAACAGGTCATTCATGCAACGCTGAAAAGTAGCTGGCGCGTTGGTCAGTCCAAAGGGCATCACTATAAACTCATATTGCACATATCTAGTCCGGAATGCAGTCTTGTACTGATCATCAGGATGGACTTCTATCTGATGGTATTCGGACTTTAAGTCTATCTTAGAGAAATACTTACAACCCTGCACCCGATCTAAAAGATCGTCTATCCTGGGCAGCGACTCAGCATTCTTCACGGTGATCGCATTCAAACCACTATAGTCTATACACATTCTCAGCTCTCCTTCCTTCTTGGGGACAAACAAAACAGGTGCTCCAAAAGGAGACGAACTGGGCCTGATCCAACCTTTCTCAAGGAGTTCGTCTAACTGCTTGCGAAGCTCCTCTAACTCTCTAGGGGACATCCTGTAGACTGCACCCTTAGGAGTTCTGCTGTCAGGCTCTATCTCTATCCTATGCTGGATGGGTCGCGACACTACTCCTGTCGGCGACTCAGTCAAGTCTTTGTATTCTTCCAGCAGCTTGGCAATTATTGGATCTGTGGAACTATCCTTTTCCTGGGCCTCAGTGACAGGTCTAACATAAACTACAAAGACCTGGTCTTCTAACTGCTCCTTCTTTACTAATCGCGCGAACGAGGGAGCACTGAGACAACAATGTGCCAAGGTGTTATCTACACCAGACACATGGAACAAGCGGGCAGTCTCAACCTCGCCTGACGGACTAGGGAGCCTACACTCATGCTCTCTCAAATGAAGTGTAGCCCCTGCTGCCTCTCCCCAATCCATTCCTAACACTATATCGAAAGGAAGGTCATCCTGCATGAGGAGAGTCAAGGAATGGAGAATTTTCTCCACCTTCCCATCCTTCTCTAGGCGAAAATATGCCTGGACTCCCTCTACATAGTCCTCAACGCGCATCGTGCGGTTGTCTGGRAGGACACTGACTATGGGGTCTACTAGCTTTTGGACTTTTAGTCCTAGCCTTAGCTTCTTCAGCGCCCTACGGCTAATGTAACTACGGGTAGCTCCTGAATCTATAAGGGTCCCTACCCTACTCCTAAACACCTCTACATCTACCAAAATCAGCTGTCCTTTACTCTCCTTCTTCATTTTGGCCCAGGCTGGCATTCTCTCCTTTAACTCTTTTGCCACACCTGTGAGGGACGTGCCTAAAGAGACGCTAACACAAGCAGTCTCTGGACAACTACCTAGGCACGGGCCTGCAACCTCTGCCATAAGCTCATGTGGGTTGGGAGTGTCCTGTTCGCGCGCGCTCACTTCTCCACATGGCCTGGAAGTAGGGGCAGTTGCGACCCCTACTGGCGGCTGCCTTTTGGCTGCTGAGCAGCCCAACGGGCCTGTCTATACTTTGGACAAAATTTAATTACGTGCGCCGGGTCACCACAGAATACGCACTGACCCAGGTTCACGCGTTCCTGCCATAAGCGT